CCTATAACTGCGAGCATCGTGAGCTTCATTTGACTGGAGATGAACTCTATGGGTGACGTCACACTCCCTTAGTCCACTTCTTTATACAGTAGCAACAACACCAGACACATGCAGGATGAATATAATACCTCATTAATTCTGAATAATTACCACACCTATTCATTGGTTTCTCTATGTCTGTACTGGAGTTTTTGGGCGTATACAGACGTCTCCTCTTTGCTCTCATGATTAGATCTGCGCTGTCTCTTATCTCTGAGCACATACCTGTTTACCATTGTGTCCCTATTAATCAACCTGCCTCTGAACAACATGTTACCTCACATAATTCGCCATCACCGCTCCAGATATTGTGATCAGGAGAAGCAGATGGCATGAAATGACCGAGTTATTTGGCACCCGGGCCTGTCGGTGTGTTGCCATGGAAACCGTTACGCTCCGGCATCTTTGTAATGGCCACAATTAGACAGCAAGGAACAACAAAGTGTTTGGGAGCGAGCAGGAGGGACAGATGTTGCTGTGTTGATTCATGCCCATCACAGTGTTATGACTGCACTGATGGTTACGCAGGTAGTAATAATGGGAGGAGAGATGAGGAAGTAAACAAAAGACTGGAGGCGCAGGATTTCAAATATACACCGTAACTTCTATATGTTGGATCCAAACTGCTGAGAAATGTTCCTCAGACCGACAATTAAAACATGAAAGCACAATATGTTCATAGGGGACTGTGTCTTTCGCTTTTTTTTTTTTAATGTCTGTTTATACCCTACAAGCTGCCTATATATTTTGGTTTGTTTGTTCAACTCAATTTAACATATTTTTGGAAGTTTTGAATGAGAATAATTTATGTCATTCAAAAATAGACAACAGAGACATTTGGCTGCATCCAACTCGACAGTATATTCTATTTTATAATATCACAGTGATTTTGGCCAAGCTTGATTCTTTCTCCCAACAGACAAATATGATTTTCTTTTGTTTTTATTTTGCTTCTGCTATTGCTGTTACATTATTTGTCTTTTTTTTTCTTACACAAGGTGGTAGCTGGTGTTTGTGTACCATGACCTTGATTTTCACCATTGACATTTTCAGCAAATATAAGTAGTTTACATACTGAAAATGTAGCTACTAATACTAATTGACAATAAATGTATATAAACGATCACTTTGAATTATAGATTAAATCAAAGCATGCAATAGTGTTAAATCTGATATCTTATTAAATTATATGTGGATTATTAATGCGAAATCTGTTCTTTAAAGGACCTATGTTACGCTATTTCCTGATCACAAACTCACCTGGAGTTGTGTTTTGTTTCATTCAGACATGTTACAACACATAAACCCTGCATATTTAGACTGAATTCTTTGCTCAAACGGAAACTACTCTGTTCCACCTTGTTATGTCATGCAGTAATACAGGAAGTGCTTCATTGTGTTTTTAAATTCCATGTTTGCTAGAATCATTTTGATACTTTCAGCCCTCAAATATGCCAAACGCTACTAAACAAAACATAAAAGGAGCTGTTAATTTAAAAACTACCACTACATGACATTACAAGTTGAAGCAGCGCATTTTGAGCTTTAGAGATGTGGGCAGACTAATAATAAAGAGTTACTCAAACATGTGAATGAAACAAAACACAACTCCAGGTACATTTGATGAGATAACAGCAAATCACATGGCTTAAAGCTCACAAGAGTCAGTTTTGTGTAACATAGGAACTTTAATTGCCTCACCGTGTATACAAAGACTTATATTTCAAAAACAATGCATTTATAAATCATGTTTACAGTCCTCATTTATTTCTAAATAAAATTGCAGGCTACTTCTCTGAGGCGCTTTTCAAATGCTACACTTTTACTCCCATATGTTTTTTTACTATCACTTATCTGAATAGTAAATGATTTGAACATTTTTATGTCTCACACCCCTGCTTAATGTATGATTTAGTTTTCCTTTTTATGTGTCTTCTGAAAACACCAGATTTTTGCATAGTTTATTGTTTTTGTCCTTCCAATTACATTAACTTTAAACTATAAATCTAGAAATATTACTCTTAAAATCACATTTTCCTGCATTGAAGTGCTACTTTATACTTCAATTTGAGCCATATTATTTTAAAGTAATGACCTCCGCTTGGTGGTTTGGTGCACCTGGTTCATGTAAATACCCTGGCTACTGAGAGATGCCTGTATGATGAAGTGGAGTTGAGTGACACACACCTGGAGCCACAAAACCAGACTGTGAGGTTTAAAGCAGAGGTACCTGTAAAGAGACCAAAAACATGTTTAGTGGAAGAATAGGCCAAATCAAATACATGTCTCAATCCTCCTGAAGCATTCATTAAACCAAGAAATTATTTTTCTTCTAAGTGTATTATATGATTTTTCAGTAAACATGTGTTATAGCTTGTTACTAATATGTGGTGCAAATATTTTTAGTGAAATAAAATAATGCTATTGTGCTATTCGGTCACTGTAGTTGAATGAATAGAGCATTAGAGCATTTACTGCCTGAAATAAAAATAATGGTATCATCACATTCATAGGTTTCTGTACCGTTTTAACCGGGTCAAAGGGCGTGTGAGCTGTGTGCTTGTTTCAGTTCATACCTGTGCTGCAATTTTATGGATAAAGCTGGCCCAGCCCTCAGAGCCCTTGGAGACTCTGTGCTGTGGTACTGCCTTTAGTCGGGGCTAAATAAAACATTTGGACTGTAAATGGGTGAGTTGACTCTTAGGGTTTTGCAGACAGCTGGTTAGATCTCTTTGTGTTGTGATTTATTATTCATCAGCACATTGGTCCGTGCAGCAGTAATTGCAGCAGCAGCAGCGGTGCCGGAGTCTGATGGTGCACAAATGAATAAATAAATCTAGATGCTGCGGCCATTTGAACGGTTGACATTTACTGATGAGGCAATTAAGAGAGCAGCACATAAACCCAACCTGTATTACACTGTGGCCCCATGCTGCACTGTACGGCCCAGGCTGACGTGTTTCTCATTCAAACTACATACATTATGCATAAAACGACGTATGTCCTTTACAAACTGTTAAAACATACATCTTTTTTTCTTTTACTTTATTTATTTTTTTTTACATTTTTCTTATTTTCAAAACTACTATCTTAATAATAAGTGTCAAATCCATTTATTATTAAAAATTAAATAAAAGCAATAAATAATGAAAAACAAAATTAAGGAAGGGGGAGAAAGAAGAGAGAAGAAAGTATCAAATCAAATCAAATCAAACTTTATTTATAAAGCACTTTTCATACAAAATGCAACACAAAGTGCTTTACAGTGATTAAAAACAGTCCCGCATTTCCAACCACCCAACCACCCACCCACCAACCCAACCCCCGCACCCCCAACCCCACATAGTCAAACAACCCAAACACACACTCACATACACACAAACATGCACACACACACACACACACACACACACACACTCACACTCACACGCTAAAATACATAACCGGACACAATAAAATGTGAAAAAAAAAAGTAGTCTAAAGTCCGAGGTTTTAATGATTTGCAGTATTTCCATAAACGAGCCCCATTTCTGTTCAAATTTGCCCTTAGTTGTTTAAAGCATGAAGTTAACAGTGGACACACCAGAGTGCATCAAAGATGTGTTTAGGCAAACCCTCTGCTTCAGGGCTATGAACAAACCAAAAGTGAGCTGTACAATAGGCTGCCATTCATAATGACATATCCACATTAGACTCCAGAGGTAGGGACACGCAAGTCATAACTTGGACATGAGTCAGACCTGAGTCACTATTTTTATGACTTGAGACTTGACTTGATAAAATGGACTAAGACTTGGGACTCGACTTGGACTTAAAGGTCAATGACTTGGGACTTGACTCGGACTTGAGGCCTGAGAAGACTTGAAAAGCACTTTTAAATATTAATTCTTTCTGTTCTGACAGTAGTGATTCACACTAATGATTCACACACACACTTGTCAAGACATTTAAAAAGGAAAAATAACAAAATTAATTTCTACAACTCTCCTATACTCTATAAATATTCAAATATAAATATACCGTAACTTTTTAAAGTACAGTTTAGTGTAAAATTCATATAAATTGCAAAAATCTAAGCTATATTTAGTACTTTGGTTTAAAGACTTGAAATGACTTGAAGCTCAAAGCTGATGAACTGGACTTGACTTGGACTTATGGGCCAGTGACACGAGGCTCGACTTGACTTGGGAGACTTGAGACTTACTTGAGACTTGCAAAACAATGACTTGGTCCCACCTCTGTTAGACTCCAAGAACAAAAGTGGATTCTTTCCCATGATCCACTCTGACAAAGGGACCTTGTAAAAACAATACACCACGTGCACAACCTAGAGGAATAGTGGAAATACTATTTTTGCTTCAATCACTCCTTAGTGTCCTCTTAATTAAAACTGACCACTTTAATTTGACGTGAGCAAATGACTCTTTTAGACCTGCTGTCTAACACAGTTAACGGGGAGCTTAATGAATTGTAGTTGATCTTTCTCACTGTAGTAAATGGAAGGACAAATCGCTCGCGCATTTTATGGGAGTGATTTGATGCACTTAAACCTGTAGGCCTATAGGACTGTCTGGAAACCAACTGGCGAGGCAGCCTATAGGAGGGATGATCATATGGAGGAGCACCCACTGGTGTAGCTTTCTTTGTGTGGTTTTATTTTATATGCTACGTTTTATATAACATAAATGACTCTGAAATAGCCTATGTAATTTCTGTGGCATGTTGAAGTTCCCCTACCAAACACACACACACACACACAGAGGAAATTGCTGCAGTTTAACATGGCCACTTGTTATAGGCTAAAGTGATGCTATTAAAAGTATAATTGTCTTCACTCGTGTGTGCGTCCTTGCTTTCTTCGCTTCTCTCCTGACCAACGAGGAGCAGCCTGAGTTCCCCGCCGCGTAACCCAGCCCCTCGTGACTCCGCCCCCTTCAACTCAGATGTGGATGCGAGAAAAAGGGCCAGCAACAATGTGACAGACAACACAGCCCCTTGCTCTGCTCTCCTCGCCGTAGTAGTGGATATCTCCTCAATGAAGTACGTGCCGAGGCGATCCACCGTGGTCCGCCTTCTCCGCGTGCAACCGAGCGAAATGCACCGAGCAGCCGCGCGATCTCCAGCGGCAGTGGCACGAGCAGCATCCCGCGAGGAGCAGCACAGTTTTTAGGTAAGGGCTTTGTTCGCCTTTGCGCAGGATTTCCATTCAGTCTTTGCATGTGCTCCTTTCATTATGCGCGCTTTGTGCAGGACACGGAGCGCGAACGTGAGTATAAAAATACTGGCGATGAACGATGCCATATTTTTGGTTAATGTAGCCTTAACACGCGGGTGGTTGGGTGAGATTTGAGGTTTTATTCCTTGGTTTAGCACAGTGAGGAGGTCCAAATATCAGTGTTTTTTGCCATTTGTCTCCAGTTCTGTGGTGCTCCGCTGAAATGGATTAATAAACATAAGCGGCGTGATAGCCCTTTGCAGCATTGTGTGTTTGCGATGCTCTCCTCTCCACATGCGTCTATGGAGACACTCTGCTCTCTGGAGTTCATTCAGTGCATTCAAAACTCAGGCCTTCAGCAACTTCTCCCATAGAATAATTGTGGGGCACTTTACTTATAGCCTATAGCCTACAGGTTCTATGGACCATTTATGATGATGTGTCTGTGTGTTATTATAAAAAAGCTACTTCGATAGCAATGCACCCCCATGCAAACGGCTGAAAACCACGTTTATAGTACTACATTATATGCTAAAGTGTGTGATATTATTACAATAAAAAACTAGTCCTTAACTCAGCTCATTGGATTGGATAGAAAAAAAGAAAATCCTCAAAAATGGGCACATATATAAATAATATATAAATAATAGCAAAAAATGATATTGCGCACAGTGTAATAACTAGGGGTGTGCAAAAATATTGAAATATCAATATATCGTATAGTTTAATGTGATGATACAGGACGTTGCGTTGGGTGCTGTATCGAAGTGTATTTTTTGGTTTACTAAAGTTTTACTAAACTAATTTGTTACAGAGCTACAGTTTTGCTGCTTGCTTAGAGGAAGGAAACTCGTTTATGTGACACATTTGACATTCTCACCATTTTGATTGAATAAAATGTGTGTGTTTCATATGAACTTGGCACAAGAAGTGGTTTAACAAAGACTTTTAGGCCATGATTTAGCTTTAATTTTTACTGAACCGTAGCAAATTTGAAATGTATCGTATCGAACTGAAAGTGCACTGTATCGAGACACTTCTTAATGATACCCAGCCCTAGTAATAGCATATTTCTGCTTACATGGAAACTGGATTTGGGTACTTCATTGTCATTGCACTTAACATATTATGGCCTGAACTGCAGTCTTCTCTTTGTAAAGCCTTTTAACGCACCAGTGTCAAAAGTGCTAATGTGTTGTTTGGATGTAGCAGGGGTTGCCATGCGTTGATCTTTTCAAGTGCCTCTAAGCCAGTTATTTGAAATGACCAAAGATTTCCAGTTTGCCGTTTCCCCTCAGTGTTACTTATCACCCTCAGGAAGCTGCAAAAACTCATTTGTATTGTAAAGAGCATTCACACTTATATATATTGTGGTCATTGAAATCAAAGCTTCATCATTTCAAGTTATTTTCTAGCAAATGGAAATTCTTCACACCAGCTGCTTGGGAATGTCATTTGTTTTGTTTCGAAGCCAGATGCATACGCGACATGCATATTTACACTTATATTTACATTCAGGTGCTTTCTGGATAGATTCTTGTTTTTGTTTCTCACAACATCTGCGTGCTAGGGTTTCCCACACCTCTTAATCACCATTCTATAAGGCTACTGCCACCTCTTCGTCTCCACAGCTGTTCATTGTCTGTAAAGTGTAGTCTGGTCCACCTCCTGTATTCAGACAGCACAGGTGTGACTGGTGATGCTACCAAACAATATTCCTCCCTACTCCTTTTCAGATCCGATCTCACAATACGCGTGATCATGTTTCTCTACGCTTCTCTTTTGATTGGAGTTTTTTCTGTCAGCACGGCCAGTTTGTGTTGCAGTTAGTAGGAGATACTCGTGTTGAAGAGAGCTGCCCATATTATACAGCAATGGCAGCACAGTTAGGGCTTGATTCTGACCACAAGGACTTCAATGGACAAAGGTGAGTAGAGAATTTTGTTCCATGAAATGCATTTGATGTAAGTTGTATTCCTGTATTTGCTAGCAGGAAATAAATCAGTTTACGGGGAAAATGACTACTCAGACTTGAGTTGAATGACTCATGTTTGGGCATTGAGCATATTGGATTTTTTTCTATATTATAATGTTATTTTGGCATTAAAACAGACCTGGAGGTGTGTTTTGTCCATTCACGCATGTTTAACACACACACCCTGCATATTAGGCTGAGTTCACTCAGACAGAAAACACTCTGTTCCCAACTTGTGATGTTATGTGGCCATACAGAAAGTGCTCCACTCTGTTTTTAAACTCCATACACCTTCAGTAGAATCATTTGAATGAGTTCAGACCTGGAATTTCCAATCTTTACTAAACAAAAGGTATAAAGGGAGCTGTTAACTTGAGGATTTTGAGCTTGGATATTCAGACAGACTAATAATAAAGGATTACTCAAACATGTGTAAATGAAACAAAAACCAACTCCAGGTTTGTTTTTGATCAGGTAACAACATTTTAACATAACTTAACATGACTTGTGTAAGTTTTCTGGTGGAGGATCCATCATCATGCTTTTCTCCATTAAGATGTTATTCCTTTGTCTCAAATGTCTCACAGTATGGCATTACACTGATATATCTTCACACAGATCAAACCAGACCAAGTTACAGGTCATATATGCTGAGGAAACAACCTAACTCACAACAGAATACGTGTTTTTTTTTGGGGGGGGGGTTTAGGTATTCTTGAGATATGAAACCACCAGTAATTTAATAAATGTGAAGTAAAGTAGGGCTGTTTAATGTCATACTGTGGAACATTTCATGCAAAGCAATGACATATCTATAAAAACAAGCAAGTGACGCTCCGCCACCTAAAAAGTAAAAAGTTACACAGTGCACCCTCTTCTACAAAACTGTGCACGATGTTGCATTGGAATCTACTTATTGAATGATTAATGTAAAAAGGGCTGTCCCAGATTTATTCTTTTGGCCCCATTGAGGCACTTGTGTGTGAAAGTGTGGCGGATACAAGCAAACCCAACTGAATTATGAGAAGTCTAATCAATGGCCAAGCTGTTTATAAATGACGCAGGCTTTTGTTTATACTGCTGTGTTGTTTGTGCCCAATTAACCACAAGAAATAAAGTAGATTCTGGGACAGCAGTGATAGAAGTGTCCAAGGACAATTTCGCAGGAATCATTCAGATAGATGTGCTATGCTCTATGTGGTTAATAGCTGCACACTGACTGTAGCACCTTTCAATATTTCAGGGCTGCTCGGAAACGTCACTTTGATTTAGACACAAGATGAAACTCCCCATCTCGAGAACAGGGTTAGATGTCGTGCCATATTAAAAGTTTGTAATTGAATATTAAGGGGTATGACAGCTACTTGAAGCATAGGCTGTTTCTAGGGACTTCGCAATCAATGGAAGTCGCAGTTTTCCTTTCCTGTGAGGAGGAGAAGCACTCAGGGACTTTTGAGCTGCTAAAAGATTCACTTAGCTGGTTGATGTTTTTGGCATGGTGCAATGTTGTCAGATGGTCATTTCTAACTGCCCCAAGAATCTTGTAAAAGAATTTAAAATGTTCCCTAATGCAGCTTGGTTTTCACAGTAAATCGGTCAAAGAGTTTGACAGGTTTTTAAGCCAGTTGCCCTTTCTGTCACAGCAAGCCCCACATATAACCCATAGTCTTTACTTAGAGCTAGATATAGGTATACATCTATATTGGTTCTAGACTTAGACTTTATTGACCCACAAGGGCTTCTGTGACCCTGCTGCCACTCTCTCAGGCACGCAGGGTGTGTCTGTTATTGACAGTTCTTTCTCTATAATTTCTATAATTTGTAATTGACACAGATATTTGATGTTTGGCATGTTGATATTGCAATTTACTGATATTTGACAATATATTGGCAGATATTATTTTAAAATCCATAACAAGGACATGGGCACAAAAAGAAGAATTCAGTCTTTGGTCTACTTTAATGTGTTTTGTTACTATTCATAATGCAACATGAGAGGAATCAAGATCTGGGTTAAATAACAAAAAGAAGAGAGTCAAGTGTCTGGATTTTTTAAATTTTTTATTTTTTTATTTCTTATTTAGCACCTTTCACTATATGATGCATGTCATAAAGGGCATTTTTCTCTCTAGTTTAAAAGCAGGTACAGGTAAAAATGACAAAATGTATTTTTAGACTTAGACAAACTTTATTGATCAACAAGGGAAATTATTTGGAAACATCACAATAAATATAATAGCATTTATATTTTTTTCTCTTTGTTAATAATAATAATAATAATAATAATAATAATACATTTAATATAAATTTGTCATACAATTGTGCAACCCATAGCCATATTTTTAGTCAACTACTCTCGTATTTCCATTTGTATGGACTAGTCTGTTTAAAAATATGTCATTTAAATATATCTCTGTGGAGCCCCTCAGATATCACTGACACAATACTGGAACCTATAAATCACCCATTCCTAGTGAACGTGCATGACAGATTTTTTGATTCTCTAACTTTGATTTAATTTGGTGAGATTATAACACTGATCACACGAGGGAGAATTCTATCGAAACGTTCAGCACAAGTTGCACAAAGTTGTTTACTTATATTTGTATTAGTCAGATAACCATTTCTGTGTACACCAGGACTTTTGCTAGGTAACAGTCATGGAAGTCCCCAGTGTGGTGCCAGGATTTCCAACAAGGAAGTGAAATTTTAAACCTAAAACATTGCCAAACTGGGAAAACAAGCTTAAACATTTTTGCAAAAATCTGTGCTTTAATAAAACTATAAGCAATCTTTGTCCTACCACACTACAAGCCAATACTAACCTTTTAAAGTTTTCTTGACTTGTTTGGTGGTCACTGCCCTCTAACTTCCCATCCACTGAGCTGATTTCTGTGCGCGCTCCATACTGTACATGATTACAGTATGAGGCTGGGCAGGAGGAGGTGGAGGTGTAATTTCAGCTGGCCACTAACCCACC